CTTTCCCGATGCCCAGTGTGGAGCACGACTTTGCTAACTTCCAAGGGGCCAAGGTTTTTCGGTATTGGATCTCAACTCCGCATACTGCCAGATACCGCTGTCCGCTAAGAGCCGGAAGGTGACTGCTTTTTGTACATCTTTCGGTCTCTTTGAGTTTACTAAGTTGCCGATGGGAATCAGCGTGGGGTGTCAAGTGCTTTCGTGCATTGTTGATTCCCTATTCGGCGACTTGAAACATGCTTATGTGTATAATTTCATGGACGATTTGGTAGTGAACTCCTGCTCCTTTGAGGAGCACCTGATCATTTGCGGGAAGTATTTCGGCGCCTTGAGAAAGCTGGGTTTACCTTAAACAGGGACAAGGTAGCGTTGGCTCAGTCCGAGATAAAGTTTTTGGGCCATTCTATATCGTCCGAAGGGATCAAAATTTTGCCTGAGAGGGTTGAGACGATCTCCCAGTTCCCCCACCCCCCGAAGAATTTGAGGGCGGTGCGCTGTTCTGTCGGGATGGTGGGTTTCTACGCGAATTTTGTGAAAGACTTCTCGCAGTTGGTAGAGCCGCTTCACGCGTTACGGCGGAAGAATGCGGCATTTGTGTGGGATGGGCCTCAGAGGCAGGCGTCTGAAAGACTTACGTCGTCCATCTCCACGTCCCCAATGCTGCAATTTCCTGACTTCACGAAGGAGTTTGTGCTAGTATGCGATGCTAGCGAGGTGGCCGTCTCGGCCGTTCTTAACCAAAGGCGCGAGGAGGGGCTAGCTCCAATAGCCTTTGCTAGCCGGCTGCTTAGGGGTGCAGAACGCAAATACTCCATTCACGAAAAGGAATGTCTTGCAGTGGTTTGGGGATGCGAAAGGTTTCGCATGTATCTTGAACATAAGGAGTTCACCCTCCATACAGATAACCAGGCATTGTCCTGGCTGTTAAGGCATGCTAAATAACTTGGCCGGATAGGGAGGTGGATTTTGAGACTAGCCCCCTATAAATTTAAAACTGATATCTTGGATAAGAGCAACGTGGTGGCAGATTGTTTGACCCGGCAATTTGAAGAGCCCCCGGAGCGATCGTTCTCCGGGTTGGTTCTTCAGCATTTGCCAGCCGCCTTTCTATCGATAAGGGAGCGCCAAATTAAGGATGGGTTCTGCCGGGAGGTATATGATAAGGTCCAGCAACAAGACCCGGCAGTTCGTAATTTCAGGCTGCTGAACGACACTATTGTTTATGTATCCCAGCGAAACAAATCTAAAGCTTTTTAGTTCCTCTAGATTTGCGGCCGATGCTCTTGGAGTATTTTCATGATTCGGCTTTAAGTGCCCACAGATGTACTCTACAAACCACCTGGATGGCACAACCCATGGAGGTACTGCAATTCTAATTAAACAAACACTTAAACACTATGAAATCCTAAAATATAAAAAAAGATTTTCTTGAAGCCACATCAGTAAAAGTGTCAACCTTACCATATGAATTAACGATAACAGCAGTGTATTGTCCTCCTAAACACAACATAAAGCAAAACAACTTCCAAAACTTTTTTCAAACCCTAGGACCAAAGTTTCTTGCTGGCGGCGATTACAACAGCAAAAATACCATATGGGGATCACGGCTAACAACAACAAAGGGCAGAGAATTAGCCAAAACAATAGAAGAAAAAAACTACTCATTTATATCATCAAAAACCCCCACGTACTGGCCAACGGATCCCAACAAAAAACCAGACCTGTTCGATTTTCTTGTCACTAATGGAATCAACACAATATACACAGACGTGGTACCAAACTACGACCTGATGTCTGATCACTCCCCAGTCATCGTAACTATAGGCACGACTACTGAACTGAAGAAACCCACACCAAAACTACATAATCTCAGAACAAACTGGAAAGAATATCGAGAAATACTACATCAAGGCATTAATCTAAACATAAGACTTAAAGAACCAGGAGAAATAGAGACGGCGACAACAGCCTTCATGAAACTTCTACAAGAAGCTGCTCAAAAAGCAGCACCTCCCATCAAGCCAAGAACATATCTAAATGAAGTACCGCTAGCTATCAAGAGACTAGTGGCTGCAAAAAGAAAAGCTCAAGCAATATGGCAACGCACCCATGCTCCCGCAGATAAAAAAAAATACAACCAGCTAAACCTCAGAATGAAGACCGAGCCCAAAAAAATAAAAAAACCAAAGCTTTGAAGAATATGTGACTAAACTAACTAGATATGACAATTCTGTTTGGAAACCAATCAGGAACCTCAAGAAACCCAAGAACAATCCACCACCAATACAGAAAAATAATGCAGAACCATGGGCCAAAAGCGATGAGGAGAAAGCTGACCTATTTGCGGAACATTTATCCACCGTGTACAAGCCGCTCAATGAAGAACTCGACCACCATATAGAACATCACCTAGCACCTCCTTCAAAAATACAGAACCCCCTCAAAACAACAACCACAAAAGAAATACTAGAAGTAATCAAATCACTCAGTCTAAAGAAAGCTCCAGGCACAGATCTCATAACAGCAAAAATGCTGACAGAAATGCCAAGAAAAGGTATAGTACTACTAACATATATCTACAATGCAATACTCCGAATAGGCTACTGGCCAAAACCCTTAAATATTGCAATCATAATCATGATAGGTAAACCTGGAAAGGACCTAACAGATGTCAAAAATTATCACCCTATAAGTTTTGTGGTGAGTTTGTCACGCGCCACACTACTGGCTCACCCCAATCCAATGCAGTTCCCACAGTTTGTTACCAATCATGCCAAAACTATTGGAACAAATTATACTACGAAGAATCAACAAAGACCTACTGCCTAGCAAATGGATCCCAGATCACCAATTTGGATTCTGCCAAGCTCACGCTACCATACAACAGTGCCATAGGATCACACGGGAAATAAGCAAAGCCATAGAAAACAAAGAATACTGCTCTGCAGTTTTTCTTGACATCAGTCAAGCATTTGACAAAGTTTGGTACCAAGGACTGCTGCATAAAATTAAAAACCTTCTTCCAATATCATATTTTTGAATATTAAAGTCCTACCTACAAGAACGAGAATTCTACACTAAAGTAGGAGAAGAAACTTCCAGAAACTATACAGTTACTTCAGGCGTACCACAGGGGAGTGTACTTGGACCAATTCTCTACATACTATACACATCAGACCTACCAACATCACAAAAAACAATAATGGGGACAAATTGTCAATGAGAAATCCGTCGAGTGCAACAATGTAACAACAACTGTAACTGCAACAACTGTACACAACACACAACGCGTAAGAAACATCTGACCATAAGCCTACACAACCTCAAGTTGACATCTCCCATCATCGGGACGAATTAACAAGAAGGAGCCTAACATTTTACTTTAAATGTTTTAAACTTTTAAATATTTTAACATTGACGGCTTAATTTGAAGGCAACTTTCAGATGGAATGCAAGAGTTGTACGTGCATTCAATGTTACTAGAAAGTGTTGTGCTTTTACACTTCGACATCTGTAACAGCGTCCACACAGCTTACATACTGTGTACATTAAACAACGCCAGTGTTTTCATGTGTTTGTAATGCGTGCCTCTGATGATGGTTTTTCTTGAACCGAAACATGTAAGGCAAGTGAGATAAATAAGTGACCTAGAAACATTGTTGCACTCGACGGATTTCTCATTGACAATTTGTGATTGATAGTGTAACGGACCAAAAATGAAACAATTCAATATAATGGGGACGTTCGCTGACGATACAGCTATACTTGCAAGTCACCAAGAAATTTCATCAGCAGCATCCTACATACAAGAACACCTCAATCAACTTCAACAATGGGTGCACAAATGGAGGGTTAAAGTAAACGAGGCTAAATCAACGCATGTTATATTTCGATTGAAGCATGGGGACAGTCCAACAGTGCGAATCAACAATATTGTAATACCACAAAAGAGCACAGCTATGTACCTAGGGTTACACCTGGATAATAAACTAAACTGGAGAGAGCACATCCAAAAAAACAAAGAAAAACCAGATAGTAATGAAAAACAAAGAATTAAACTGGCTAATCGGCAGGAAGTCAAAACTGACAATGGAAAACAAGATCCTAATTTACAAAACTATCATCAAACAAATATGGACATAAAGCACTGAACTATGGGGATGTGCCAGTAAATCCAACACAGCCATCATACAGAGACAGCAGTCAAAACACTCCCACAAATAGTGAACGCCCCACGGTACATAACCAATTACACACTTCACAATGACCTCCACATCCCTACAATCCAAGAAGTCGTCAAAACAAAAACTGCGAGGCACATACAAAACATAGAAGATCACCCAAATCCACTACTCAGCCAACCAGTACTACAACCAGTCAACAGGAGACTTAAAGAGACAGTGGCCAACAGATAATAACTGAAAACTCTGAAGTAACATCGCTGGACGTTAACCTCAACACACCTCAGCTGTAGCTAGGATACCTAGCACGGATGAACACATTAGCTTATAGAATGCACTGTATTCTGATTGCTGATCATGTATTATTAAAAAAAAAAAAGTGCCCACAGGAGTTAGAAAAACCCTTTGGCAGATTTGCAAGGGTTTTTACTGACCGAATGAATCCGGTCCAACGTGACTAAGTACGTTAGGACACATGACGTTTGTCAACAGGCTAAGCCGGCTCAAAACATGCGGGTTGGCCTCCATAATAGTCATGTTGTCACAAAACCCATGGAGCGAATCTTTATCGATTTCGTTGGTCCCCTTGTCTGGAGTCGTCAGGGCAACTTTGCTATCTTGGTTGTCCTGGACGGCTTTTCCAAATTTGTGGCCATGTACCCCGTGAGGAAGATTACATCTAATGTGGTGGTGGCTTGTTTGGTTGGGATATATTTCCCTTCTTTTGGGATTCCAAACTGTACTGTTTCGGACAATGCCGCGGTTTTTCACTCCCGATTGTTTTACAATATCTGCTTTTCCTGAGGGATAAAACACGTCATGATATCACCTTATTACCCGCAGGCTTCGCAGGTAGAACGCTTTAATCGAAATCTGAAGGCAGCCCTGACTATCTTCCATCACTCCCAACATACCCGCTGGGATGAAAATTTACTTGCTCTCGCCGTGGCGTTTAATACTGCCTGGCACGAGAGTACGGGTGCTACCCCAGCTCTCCTACTCCTGGGACGGGAGTTGAACCATCCCTTGGGGATGAGATGGGAGTTGTCTGAGGTAGATCTACAGCAGTCCCCTCATGACACTAAGGATTTTTGGGGACAGGCTCTGGCAAACTTGAAGCGAGCCCAGGATAGGGTTGCCAGATGTTATAATGCGTTGAGAAGTGAGGCCGTGTTTCGCCCTGGAGACCTAGTCCTAGAAAAACGACACCCCCAGAGCTCTAACATTTTACAACAATCTGCAAAAATAGCTATTAAACGGTCTGGACTGTGTGTCATTGCAGAGTTTCTGACGCCAGTTACGGTTCACTCCGACCAGCTGTAAGAGAACAAATCTGGCAGATGCTAGTAGATGACATCATTGAGATTAGCACCTCCCCGATTCTCAACCCATTAACCGTGGTAAGCAAAGAAGGAGGGAACATATGCATATGTGTTGATGCCCAGAGGGTGAATCAATACACCATCCCAGACCACAACAGAACTCCCTCTATAAATGAACTTTTGCAGAGGTTTCACGGAAATAGGTACTTTACGTCCCTAGATCTGAGCTCTGCCTATCTGCAGATAGAGTTGCACGAGGAGTATCGAAAATACACGGTCTTTATGTCCGAATCGACCCTGTATCAGTACAAAAGGGTTCCATATGGGTTCAGAGACTCATTACTCGCATTCGTACGCGCCATAAAGGTAACAATGGGAATGGATCTGGAGAACGCGGTATCCTATGTGGACGACATCTTAATACATTCCCCTACCATGAAAGATCACCTAAGACATCTTGATACCGTACTCGGCAAACTGACGAAGGCAGGCTTCATGATCAACGCCAAAAAATGTCGCGTCTGCAGAGACGAGGTCAAGTTTTTGGGACACCATATAGATAGGACCGCTGTATACGCTGACCCGGATAGGGTACAAGCAATCCTCCACTATCCAGCACTGAGAAACAGTAAATACCTGAGACAATTTTTTTGGAACCAAGTGTTGAAGCCTAAAGAGTTATTAGTGGCAAAGGTAGACCTGGGAACTCACAGAACACTCAGGAAAGAATTAGGCAACCTGTCAGAACACCAACTTGGTGATCCCGCTTTAAAGAAATTACAGGAAGAACTGGAGAGCGACCCAAAAATATTTGTTGTTTCTGAAGTGGTGTAATTTGACATCTAGCCAAGTCACACGTTGGGTAATACAGCTGCATGAGTACAATTTGAAGACTGTACACATTAAAGGCAGCGATAACTTCTTTGCAGACACGCTGAGCTGCAACCCCATTGGGTTAAGCCAAGAGAGCCGCGACCAAGTGTTGAAGCCTAAAGAGTTATTCGTGGCAAAGGTAGACCTGGGAACTCACAGAACACTCAGGAAAGAATTAGGCAACCTGTCAGAACACCAACTTGGTGATCCCGCTTTAAAGAAATTACAGGAAGAACTGGAGAGTGACCCAAAAATATTTATGGGCAGATACATGATGAGAGACAAGTTCCTGTTTTGCAAAAATGACAGGACCCATCCCTATTGGAGAATTATGCTACCCAGACAGCTAGAAAAATGAGTGATTCGGTATGCACATACTTTATTGGGACATCAAGGTACCGATAAATGTATGTTGAAAATAGCACACACTTTTCACCTAAAGTCATTAGGAAGGTGCCGAAGTTTGTAGCACACTGTGACATTTGTCAACGTGTGAAGCATCCCAATAGGTCCTATGAGACTGAAAGAGTATATCATCTTCCAACAAGGCCAGGAGAGCTATTAATGGTAGACCTCTATGGACCACTCCTTACAGGTCGTGGTGGAGTGAAATACCTGTTGGAATGTCTAGAATTCTTCTCCAAACATGTAACCCTGTACCCACTACAGGCAGCCACTACTAGGAGCTGTTTAAAGAAGCTCAGGGAGCATTATTTCCAAAGAGTTTTCAAACCTGAGACCATCCTGTCTGATCACGGATCACAATTTGCAAGTCCTGCATGGCGAAAAGCACTGACTGATTTGTGCATTCAGTGCAGGTATTCTCCTATTCGACACCCGGAAAGTAATCTGACCGAATGTGTTATGCGCGAGCTTGGAAAATACTTTCGAATCTACTGCCACGAGATGCATAAACAATGGTCAGAACTTGTGCCATATATATAGAAAACTGGTTGAATTCTTCAGTTAGCCAGTCTACATGTTATACTTCTGTAGAACTGATATTGTAGTGTACAGACCTACTGCTATGTAATGACTCTGTAAACTGCAACCATTTCCAAGCAGTAGCACCATAAACACATTCCCATTGCTAGATAAAAGATTCTTAATAATGCAACAAGTTATACTACAACAGTGGAAACATGGTGTTTCTAAGTGGTCCATGCCAAGGAGTTACCCTAAAGACCAATGGGGCCACCCAGTTAGTTCTGTATGGGAGCCTGTGAAGAGAGGAACTGAGCGCAGGAATCTGAAGGATCTCCAATGTTAGAAGTTCTTCCCAGAAAACAGCTGGTAAAGACACAGCAGGTTGGGAAAGGTTTAGCATGTGCTGTGGTGATTTGTGAATTGTGGAGATTGGTACTGGTGCTGTATTTACTTGTACTTACAAGCCATGTGTATAAGTGGTCAACGAATCCAGTATCCAAACCAAACCCTGTCTACAGTCACACTAGTATGTGACAATATAAAACGTGGACAGTGGTGACACCAATTACACTACCACTTTTGGCAAAATTACAAAACCTGTGTCCCAAATACATAAGCCCTCTAGGGCAAGGACATAACAGTGAGTTGGTCTATTCTCTCAAATCACTGAACAATCTGAAAGGTTGGGAGGAAATTTTTCGTGAAGGCATGATGTCCAAATTCTAAGGTCCTAAGAAAGGTAACTGGTAAATAGAGTAGCAGCTCTCCACAGGGCACAAATTGAAGATGCCCTGCTCAAAGGCGGAAGTACAACAAAGGTACAGTCAAAGTATGTAACTGATTGTAACACCTATACATGTGGTAAGGACTGTGCCAATCTCTAGAAAATAAATGGCCAAGAGGTGTTCTTTTGTCTTCTGCAGTACACTATCTCAATGAAACACAAAAAGAATATGAAGCACAATCTCAGTTAGAGGGGAGAGAAGTAGTAATAAAAAGGAGCAGAGGCAGAGAGAATCACAAGAGCGAAAAGAAAGAGAGAGAGAGATGATGATTTCAGTGAGACACTAATTCAGGCTGATCCTGAAGCAGCTTATCCTCTACAGTTACTCTTATATAAAACAATGATACAGTGGGCTGACAGGATGAGGTAACATGAAATCACAAACTCATTCAAATTTTGGCAGCTAAAATGATATCACAAGATGTTGCAGAATGTGCCTCAAAAAGACCATCAAAGGGAGACAAGTTTGTGGGTGCTCTTTGTGGATTTTCTCTACATCTTGCACACTGATACACCTGGTACTTCCCCAGAGATGGCAAAAGGACATTTGCTACATAATATTTTGTTTCTTCACATGGTACAAAATTACAGCCCTACACTTAGAACCCTAGTGTTTGAAGTCAGGCCTGGATTCAAAAGCCTGGCAGTGAATGCATTAAGTAATAAAAATTATGTGTACCATATATCACACCTTTAGGGTGTACTTGATCTTTCCAAGCTATGGCTAATGCAATGATGAAGGAATTCCTTCTATATATAAAGTTCTCATTAATGTACACACAAAAACAAACATACTGAATATAAATTACATAATGTCTGGACATCTTTGCTTAATGGCAAAACTTAAGATTCTAATTGTGATTTTTATCTAAGAGGACAATTTATGAATTAACATGGACTAAAAATCACAATTTGCTTTAACAGCTGATTTGACCACATATGAAATCCAAAACGTAGATTCAGGCTCACCTTAAGTACTCCTAACTGCTCCAAAATCCTGTTATATATAGCTATCATGCTTCTAGAGAATCAACACAGTTTCTACAGAACAGACACAGCAACAACAAAATCAGACACAAATCAAGAAAATCTGCAGTCTCATTTAGTGAAAATACTTACACAATAACAAACCTTTAATCTAAAATTTATAATATCAAATAACGCCCATTTTACACAAAAAAAAAAAAGTGGAGGAAAAAATCCAAAGCATCAATACTGGCAAATACACTTACTGATTATGGCCACATTACTAAATGCATAGATAATAAATGTCAATGTTTGGTTCATTCAGTTTCCCAGTCACACAANCGATTATGGCCACATTACTAAATGCATAGATAATTATCTATTTATTATAATAAATGTCAATGTTTGGTTCATTCAGTTTCCCAGTCACACAAAGTGAAATTACAAATATCATGAAACAGGCCTATTGTATGTTCTTAACCTCAATTACAACAATGTAACGAATGTTGTACACTACAATCTTGAGACTTCATAACAAATCTGTCTAGTTCAAAGTGAAGTGAGGTTCAAGAAACAAAGATCTGAACAGGTCTGCATACAGCGTGTCCCAGGAGAAATGTGCCAAACTTTGGGAGGGTGTTCCTTATGTTAAAGTATGCTGATATAACCCAAAACACCTATGTCCACAGTTGAACGGTTATGGAGATAATGGCCAGAGAAGTGTGAAACTTTGACCGGTGTTACACACTTGTTGATTATAAAATACATATTAAAACTGGAAGGAATATGTGGTTTCTGTAATGTTAATAATGTACGTAACATCAAACTAACTTGTGAGTGACATGAAGCCATTAAATTGAACTACAAAAAACTCGCACGCCATGTCGAAGTTGTCGTTAAGAGTTCCAAGCACTTTACATGACACATGAATGGCAAGCNCGCATTCCTCCTGGGACACCCTGTATATGTATATGGCAACACTGGCTCCAACTTCACCTGGCAAATCCTATCTGAAATTTTCAATGTGTTCATTAAGCCAAACAATTTCAAATTCTAGACACACCTTTGGTATATACAGACACATCGCATGATTAATACTTACTTAAAATGAGATCTAACAGAAATGGTATGAAATTTTGGAAAAGGTGATAAAAAAACTAAAGCTACATCTATGCATTGATTAAAATAGGTACACTGTCAAAACTTGATATGAAATATAAATATCACAGCGAACACATTAGTCATGGCAACATAGGCTACCCTCAATTGACTCTCTGAATGTCATAAATAAGAACAAAGTTCTGTAGTTAAAAAGAAATGTTATAAGAGAGGTTCTTGGTGGCTTACAGGTTAAGCTATCTGGTCACTGTATGAAGTCTTTGTCTCTGAGCAGAAAAAGAGTATCTGAAAAGGAATAAATGTATAAAGATGAAATACAAATAAATGTGAAACACTGCAAATTTTGCAAAGTACTACAGAATGTCATTTGATGTTGCCAGCAACTGACCCAGCACGCTATATTCTCATACAGAATTATATACAGTGGAGCAAAAAGAAATGATGTTAAACAAAAAGATAAAAATTTGAATTAAACTCACAGAATTAGCGTATAGCACACCTAAATATGTGTATACAAGAATTTATTCTGTTTGGTTAGTTTATCACACAGAAAAACATTTTCCATTTTGAATACTAAAGTAGCTCCTCTGTATCCTGTCTAGGTTATGTGTTGAATGACTGAGGAACTGATTTAATACAAAACTATAAGGTTTATTCTGGACTCTATCCATTGTCTGGTATATATAAGACAAAAACCACGTTTCAGAGACTGGATCTCTCTACATCCTCAGGTGGATGGGGCAAGACAGACCTACTCAGTTGGGCTCGTTAGAAAGAGCTAGTCTCAATCACTGATTTTATATTCAAATTATGTCCATCAGAAGATGATGAAGACTTTTCAAAATCATCAGATAACTCAGCCAGGATTTTCTGCAAGCAATCATCATCCAACTATTCCACTACTTACTGCCAAACGTACAGCGCAACTAGCATTCTGAAACAACTGCTACCTAAGTACCTGGAACATTTTACAATCCTAGCCTTACGGAGATAACCATCAATGAAACTAATTTGTGTGCACAACATCAAATTGTAGCAAACTTCGATAAACCAGGTACAAAACAATGACATAACAGTAAACAGTGGCAGGTCGTAACAATTATACTTTAATGATTACCAATACAAATACTATGGCAGTGTCCAGTTTCCAGAAGCTCTTTTGGACAAAAACATCAGTCTGTGTGAACTATTCATTAAAGTCATGGTCTTCAGCAGACTTGACAGGGCACTGCCAGTGAAGCCCTAGAGCAATGAAGGGCATGAAGCCAGGAAACACTCCCTCTAGAACCATATTGTGATGTATTTTGCTTGTCTACAAAATCATTCATGTTGTCAAAATGGTTCTCAAATAATGACAGAGGAGTGAAATGGATTGAATAATAAAAAATCAGGAACTCACTCAAACTCTCACCACCAGGAGTGATAAATACCTGACAAAACACTGCAGTATGTCATAAGGAGAACATCAAGCCAGAAACTCAATTTCTGTAAAATTCCTTGCATCCTGAAGACTGCTACCCACAGCATCACAACCTCATAGTCTACTAAAGGTAATAATAACACTTCCACACTTCTCTTTCACAAAATTTGTGAAATATAATTTATTTTTTTCAGGCAGTGCAAAAACTCCATCTCCACACTCAACAGGGCATTAAAGTAAGGTTTCCATTTTAAAGACTGACATGAAAGTAATAAAATGTGATATGATGAGCTTTTCAAGTTTCCTGATTATTTTATGCTTTCATGCCAATCTCTATTATTCCTCTTCCTTATATACTCCTGACTTCAAAATCTGTTATTGGAAATATCTGATTTTTTTAAATAAAAGACTGCATCCTATCTGCGTCCATCATTTAGTTTTTGGATTTAGCAGCAGTCTGAACAAAAAGTAAAGTGTAAAAAACTATAAATTATGTCAAATCAGAGTAACATCTTTACATGAGTATATATATTAGCAAAATACAGTCAAATACAAACTACATTGTCATAAAAACATTCACCTTGCCACATCAATACTTAAGTCCTCAGAACACCCAATCCACTTACAATTGTTTCTAGAATATATACAGGAAGGTTCTTTGTTGACTGGTTCATGGCTCTGTGCTTCATGGCAACAAGCACTCTGCCAGCAGTGAGGCACATACAAATTTTGCTGCTGAATCAATATGCCTATTGGCTGATAACATTTGTAATGAAGTAGTTATAATTCAGAGATTACAGGAGTGTTGAAACTGCTGTCTTTTTACATGTAAACATTCCTTGTACTGGCACAAGACATTCTGATTTACCTCTGAATCTCTTCTGCAGGAATACTTGCAATTTCCCTACAAACATCTTTCAGTTCTTCTGTTTGGGGGTTACTGTTGTAAACTTTATCCTTCAAACAACCCCAGAAGAAAAATCACAAGGAGTAAGATCAGGTGATTGTGCTGGCCAAATAGGGATTCTGATAATTCCGTTCCTGAAGTCACCAGACAAAGCCTGCAAGACATACATGCAGTGTGGGAAGTAGCTGAGTCTTGCTGAAACCTGCCTCGGAGTCTTTCTTCTTCTCTTAACTCTGGAGAGGACTGCCCAAGGACATGTACATATCTTTTGCAATTAACTGTTCCGTTAAAAAAACAAAGGTATAACAATCCTCCTTGCACTTACAGCACACCAGACACCAACATTCACTGCACGGAGGACCTCATGGGATAGATGTGAATTCTCTGAACTCCAGTAGCAATTATTTTGCATTATTATGTATCCCTGCAAGTGAAACCTCACTTCATCAGAAAAGAATGTCAATTCAGATCAATCTCCCCTTCACCAACAGACTGTAGAAACCAACTGCAAAAATGAACCCTGTTAGCTGGATTGCACGGCTGCAAGGCATGGATTACTGTTGTCTTATAGGGTCTAAGCACCTGAAATCATGTTGCCCTTCTTCCACTAGACTCTGGCACTCCAGTCTCTGAGCTAGATATTTCAGTGATTACTCCTCTCTCAAGGTTAAGTCCATACATAGATGAAATTACTGGGGATCAAGCGTGTGGGTTTCGACGTAACAGATCAACAGATTTTTTGCATTCATCAGATATCATAGAAAAAATGGCAGTACAAGGAGACAGTGCATCAGCTGTTTGCAGACTTCAAGAAAGCCTATGCTTCAGTTAGAAGGAAAATGTTGTACAATATTCTCATAGCGTTTGGGATACCCATGAAACTAGTTAAGCTGAAAAAAATATGTTTAAATGAAATTTATAGTAAAGTTCGTATACATAAACATTTGTCTGACAAATTTCCTATCCAGAATGGTCTAAGACAAAGAGATGCTCTATCGCCACTCCTTTTCAACTTTGCTTTACATTATGCCATTAGGAAGCTCCGGGAAAACCAGGTGAGACTGAAATTAAATGGGACACATCAGCTGTTGGTCTATGCCGATGATATGAATCTACTGGGTGATAATATAGAAACCATAAAAAAACACAAACTTTAATTAAGACATGTAAGAAGGTTGGTCTAGAAGTAAACACAGAGAAAACTAAGTATATGTTACTGTCTCATGACCAAAGTGTAGGGCAAAATCATGACATAACAATAGAAGACAGATGTTTTGAAAATGTGGCACAGTTCAGATATTTGAGATCAACGATAACAGATCAAAACCTGATTCAGTAGGAAATTAAGAGGAGACTGAACTCTGCTAATGCTTGCTACCATTCAGCCCAGAACCTTTTGTCTTCTTGTCTGTTGTACAAAAACATAAAAATTAGAATATACAAAACTATAATTTTGCCGGTGGTTTTGTATGGATGTGAAACTTGATCTCTGACATTAAGGGAGGAACATAGACTGAGGGTGTTTAAGTAGGGTGTGTTGAGGAGAATATTTGGACCTAAGGAGTTGAAGTGACAGGAGAGTGGAGAACACTGCATGATTTGGAGCTTCACAGCTTGTATTCTTCGCCAAATAAAATTAGAATTATGAAGTCAAGGAGGCTGAACTAGGCAGGGCATGTAGCACGAATGTGGAGGAAAGGAATGCATATAGATTATTGGTGGGAAAGCCAGGAGGAAAGAGACCACTGGGAAGGCCAAGGCATAGTCGTGTGGACATTAATAAAATGGATCTTAGAGAGATAGGATGGGATGGTATGGATTGGATCTGGCTCAGGACAGGGACCATTGGAGGGCTCTTGAGAACACGGTAATGAACCTTCGGGTTCCATAAAATACTGGGGAATTCTTTTGTAGCTGCAGATTTGGCTTCTCCTCAAGAAGGGCTCAGCTCAGCTCAGCTCAGCTCAGCAAGTAAGTAAGTATGTTCAAGTCTGACTCCTATGTCATCTAACTTTTCTTCAGTAAGCACTCAGCTTTCATGCTTTTGTTTCTTGTCTACTAAGAGTCCTGTTGATATAAGTTTATTTAGCAAATTGTAAATTGTTTCTCTGTTGGGAATGCTTTCATCACAAAATTTATGTCAAAATTTTCACCAGTACCTCCTAAAAGATCTGTTATTTCACATGTGGGTCACATATACATACTCGTACAGGCTACTCTAAAGTTTACCACACTATGATGAGACACACTGCTGATTAATTGTAACTGAGAACAAACGGCTAATGGAGCTGATAACTGCTGCCTACTGCTGACAAATCAGAAACAAATTCCCATGTACAAACGGCACTGCTAACTGTGAAATATAATGCCATCAAGCAGTCAAACTTCCCTTACTTCCAAACTTTATTGCCCATCAGGCGTACTGATTCACTGGCAAAATTTGTGTACACCTCACAGCCAGTGGTGCACCAGTCAACCGTACTACACCCTGACACCACTTCAACCAACCACTTCAAAAACCTCATTTTTTTACTCCTAACAGCCCCATCATGCTTCCCAACATAAGCCTAAAGGCATAAGAACAGCAGAACTGTACAAAAATTATCTTGGACTAGGACAGTGCACCTGGGGAAAAAATTATAGTAAATTAGAACAAAACCCTGACACTTATATTTATAAAGTGCCTTAGAAAACTGATAAACAACATACCATATAAGACATGCTATTCTACTAGTACACTGTGACATGAGAGCTCAAGATCATTTTCAAGAGACAAATCTCATTACCTACCCAAACCCCATGATCAGTCACGTCACGACAATACATACTCATGTAAAATCAGATGTAACATAATTTATACTTTCATACATGTATATGCATTACATTGTGAATTTTTAACACATCTGTGTGTTACACAAGATGATAACCACACAGTGACAGAAACATATACTGTGGTATGAACCACACGGTCTGAATATAGTGTGTGACTGCTTACCCAGACACTTTGAAAATATCTGATTATAATTAAGCAGTTTTCAGAATTTATACCTGAAGTACAGAGGAGTCACACATCCTCCACTGGCTTGATCTTCACAGCATTTGGTGAATAATGATTCTGCCCGTCATCAGGTGGCATGATGGAGTTCAGAGGGTCATCATCTTTAGCTGCATAAATGAGTAGGAATTTTACTGATGGAAGTTCACATAATATTGTTCTCATAAACAAAGTTAATCATAAACTATCACAACAATGCTAGATAAACTGCACATGTTACTCAGTATTCACAGCTGAAAAAGAAGGGGACCCATTTGCAAATGAAAATGAAGCATATAAAGTGTGAAATAAGTATGATCATTCTATTCTTAATATGTATAAGAGAAAACTGAGTGGGCACAAAAACTGACCAGTAATTCCATATAAGAACTGTGGTGGCAAGCATCACATTATTAATATTTAATGAATTCCAGTTCAAAGGCCACAAATATTTTTGTCTTTGTTGGGAAACAACNAATGTCCAGTTCAAAGGCCACAAATATTTTTGTCTTTGTTGGGAAACAACTGCTGTGTTAAAATCCACACTCAAATTTTCCTTGAAGCAAGTATGGCTGCCATATAGAGTACACAAACTCAAAATCAACATAAGTGTGTCTGGACAGAATTAGCCAAAGATAATATTCACATGCAAAGAGAGATTGCAGAATGTGATATGATAGAAATTAAACCTAAGAAACAAGTTATTTGCACCAAGTCCTACACTACAAGTCAATTCTAAAAGGTTCTGATGACGTGTATTATGCCTGGAATTACTGAGTTTCTGGACCTTGTCCATCATCTAGTATAGGCATGGCAACTGTGACCATTAAGGTCATATGTTGCAGGTAGTAATGACGCCATCCTCAATGAGGTTGGCCGAGCTACAGCTGTGTCTCTGGTGGGGTCATATCACGAACCAGAGAATGTGCTGGAACACAGCTTTGGGTTCCACCAGGCAACATTTAGTCTCGGGGTCTGGATCAGTATGACCAACCGGAGCCGGAGACTAAGCTCCCATAAAGGGCAATGGCATATTTCATGACCAGAGCCTCCCACACAGCAGCATCATGACTCTCGGGTACTACTAAGTTTTTCCCGGGACGAATGTGGGAGAGCACTCATATGGGGGCAGCTCCAGCTACTTCAGCTGTCTCCCTAGAGTACCGATAAGGTAAAAACACTCTAAAATGGTTTAACCAACCCACATGGAGGGGTGGGAATGTGGGGTGATCCACCACCCTCAGGGGCGATTCTTTCATGCAGTTTACTCTGGTCACAACTGCATGTCTAACTAACATCACACAAGCACTAATCACCTGGGCCATCCCCCTCCGCCTGAATGTGCATTTTAGGTCCTGGAGGATCACAAAGGTTTATTCACAACAGGGCCAAACCACCCAAGCCAAGGTGTGAGGCATCATGCCAAGGGCTGCTTGACACTGGGGTGGAACTTAGCCAGTGTCATGAACGATCCCCTCAGGGCACCAGGCAGCACACCGTTGCATTTATGCCTTCCACCCGTATGGGGTGCTGAGGGTAGTGACCTCTTAAATCCCCATTACTCGTGGGACCAATATGGAAACCATAAAGAATATAAAAAACGGTTCTCAGGACCTAAAAGTAAAGAGGAATTCCCCTTCAAGAAGATCCCTATGAGAAATACTTCAGCAGGGGCTGGAAGCTCCATTACACTGCTAGGGGGGCCAGATGCAATCAGTGAACTTGCTGCTGAGATTTCAGCCAAAGGCAGGGATGAACCATTGGTGAGATATCTGCCTAAGTTTGGACCAGGAACCCTTTGCTTGGGAGTCAGTAATACTGATACACCACTGCAGGGGGCTAATACTTCTAACTCACCTACAGAAGGAGAAGGTCTGGGACACCTAGTCTCTGGAGTGGGTGGACTCTGTCTGGTGAAGAAGGCATTGTATGGATGCGCTAGACAGAAATTGAAAAAGGCAAAAGCAAGGGCAAATGAAGCAGGAACTGGGGGCATTCGGCAACCAGGCAATGCTAATGCGCCCAAGCAGAGAGTAACCTTGACCAAAACCCTTAAGAGGCCTAGGTCGGAGGGTAGTACTCCTATGAAAATGGTCAGACCTCCAAAAAGACCCAGAGACTACAGAGGATGAGGGACATAAAAGGATGTGCTGAGCAACATAAAGATAGCTATCTTCAAGGAAGTGTATCCTGAAGATAAGTTAACAGAAGACAACCTCAACAATATCCTCAAGAAACTGGGAAGAGAGTTGCGTGGACTCCATTAGGAGAACTACCACACCTAAAGTCTTACAGACAGGTGCATTCATGTATATATATATATATGCACTGACCAACAGTCTGGTCAGTGGCTTGTCAGAGCCACTGACAATCCAAGGCTAGGATTAGGGGCCAGGATGAAGGCTACTGATGCCAGGAACCTCCCTGATCCTCTTAAAGTAGCTCTCAGGGTGAGGGATAAAGTTGCCTCAACCCACGATGAGCTACTAAGATGGATCAGAAATCTGAACCCAGGACTACACACTGAGTACTGGAGAATATCTGATAAGCAGTTAGAACCAAAAGATCACAGGCTTATCCAGCAAATAGACCAGGACTCCTTTTGGCCATCACAAGGACCGGATACAAGATCTTTAAAGGACTTTCAAAAAGGAATAGTTAGGGTCCTGAAAGATCCTGAGGCACAACATCGAGAAGGAGAACTTGTGCCAAATACAGCACTCTTGTAATCACTCTCTGAGGGGAAGGGAGATGGTGCACCCAATCCCTCAGATGACTGGGGAGGGGCAACAGATGCAAAAAGGGAAATTACTCCAAGTATCAAGTCTATCTCAGCAGATCAGTGGACCATGCCAAAGGGAACCTGGTCTGATTATATGGAAAAGGCAGAGAAGGAGGAGATGAAGACAGACCCCCCCCACTAGTCAATAAAGAATGAAGTAAAGATAAGACACACAGATTTTAAACATACACACATATAACATTTGCACATAACATTAAATTTGTTCTAATAAACCTATGACACAGCAGAGAACCTACAGCAACTTTATGACAGAAGGTAGCTGAAGAAAAGGCAGATATAGAACATATTCAAGAACCCTGGATATACAGGGGCCAAAGAAGAGGTTTAACTAATTCTGGGGGAACAATAAATTCTGCTGCATCTGGTAATAATCCAAGGTCCTGTATCTATGTCAGGCACCATAGTATTGCCTTACCTTTAATTTAGTTCTGTTCTAGGGATGCAACATGGGTGAGGATAGCATACACATGTGGCAGAGGTTGTGAGGAGCTGGTTGCTGCTACAGCTTACCTCCCATAAGATTCAGATGAACCACCACTAACCAAAGAAGTGAGACATCACTGACTACTGCTACAGCAAGAAAAAGCAGCTCCTCATCACTGGGTGTGATGACAACACACACCACACACTATGGAGGAGCACCAGCACCAATCCTAGAGGAGAAAGACTTCTGGAATTTCTGGTGAGTTCGAACCTGAATATTCTTAATCATGGTAATGAGCCTACCTTAGTGGTCTGCAATAGGAAGGAGGTTATTGACTTGACATTAGGGACAAATAAAATAGCAAACCTGGTAAATAATTCACATCTATGAACGGTCTTTGTCAAGCCTCAGATACGTATGCTTTCAAACAGGTAACATAACAATAAAGTTACCTTCAGGGACCCCAGAAGAACCAATTGCGAGTCATATGAAAACAATCTAAAGGTGAATCTGGAGAATATTCCGCAAAGAATACACATGGTAGGGGACACACATCGCTTTGGTGTCCAGCTGCAACAGGCCATCATCTTGTCCTATTGTCATAATTGCCCAGCCCAGACCACTCGCTCACCAAGTTTAGCACCTTGGTGGAATAAAAAGCTAAGTGGGCTAACAGCCAAAACAAGAAGGCTATTTAATATAATGAAAAGAACAGGGCTGTGGGACACCTACAAGGAAACCCTTACCTGTTATAATAAAGAAATGAGAAAAGTCAAATGATCCTCATGGAGGAGGTACTGCCAGGATATCTATGATGTACCAGACAGTTCCAAACTTATGAAGATCATGGCAAAACAAGCAACCAATAAGGTTAGCACTATTAACCTACCTAATGGTCAGTTTAATCAGAGGCAAACATACACTGAAAGAGTTGTTCAGAGTTAATTTTCTTGATTCAAAGCTGAATGATGATTCATATGATGCTGGACAGGGCGAGATGAACTTGGGCATATGTGGACGCATAATGAACAGGGGAGACTGGAACCTGGCTAAACATGTGGGCAATCAGCCAAAAATTAGATGGGCACTAGATACATTGAAACCATTTAAGTCTACAGGAACAGATGGAATTGTACTGGAATTCTTGCAGCAAGGGATGGAGCTTTTAGTCCCACACCTATGCCACATATTTAGAGCTTGCATGGTGCATGGATTTACTCCCTTGGCCTGGGGGGCAAGTTAAACTGGTTTTTCTTCCAAAGCCAAGGAAACTTGTTTACACCAAGGACCAAGGATTATTGTCCTATCAGTCTGTCATCTTGCCTTTTGAAAACAATAGAGAAATCCAGGCATATTAGAGACAGTGTATTAACAATTCATCTTCTTCACCAAAACAAACATGCTTACCAAAAAGGTAAATCTACTGAAACTGCACTTTATAATGTGGTAACAAACAGAGCAAATGGTATTAAACACAAGGATATTGCCCTTGGAGCATTCCTTGACATAGCTGGAGCTTTGATAGAACCTCATTTGACACAATAAAACAGGCTGCTGAAGGGCATGATATTGAGCCTGCAATATGAAAATAGATCTGTGCTGTGCTGGAAAGCAGGAACACAATTGCTACATTGTCGGGAGAGACCTTGGTAGCATCTGTGGCCGGGGGGAAGAGGTCCACAGGGAGGTGTGCTTTCGCCTCTGCTGTGGGCCTGGTCACAGACAATCTACTTTGGAAGCTGAATGACAATGGGTATCACACAGCAGGATATGCTGATGATATAGCAATCTTAATCAATGGGTAATTCCCTCAGACTTCGTCAGAGGTCTTACAGGTCAGAGCCCTGTGCACAGTGCAACAGTGGTGTGAAATAATGAAGTTGTCTGTCAAGCCAAATAAGACTGTAGTTATACCCTTTACTAGGATGAGGAACATAAAAGGGCTCAAGAAGCCAACCCTTTTCAGTAAAAGAATCCAGCCATCCAGTGATGTCAAGTACCTTGGAATAACATTAGACACGGGACTGACATGGGAAATGCAGGTGGATAAGGTTATCAACAAGGCCTATAAAGCCTTCTGAACATGCAAAGGCACATTTGGGAAAACTTGGGGACTGAAAGCAAAGGTGATATATTGGATATACACTGCAGTGATAAGACCTATGGTTACCTGTGCTGCCACTATATGGTGGCCTAGGGTTAAACAAGTCAGGCCGAACTTAGCAAATTGCAAAGGATGGCCAGCTTGCAAGTAACAGGAGCAATAAGAACAGCTCCAACAGCTGCAATGGAAGTCCTCCTTGGACTCCCCCACTACATCTGCAGATGGAAGCGGAGGCCCAGGTAGGAAATTACATGTTATGCTGCAACAATCAATGGAGAACCAAATCTGAAGGTTCTGAATATGTATGCATGACTCAGGGAGACCACCTCTGTGGTCTAGTGGTCCGAGTTTCTGCCTACAGATGCAGAGGTCCCAGGTTTTCAATTCCTGGCGCTGCCAGATTTTCTGATAAGCAGTAGGTCTGGAACAGGGTCCACTCAGCCTTGTGAGGATAACTGAGGAGCTATTTCAAGGAAATAATGGCTCCAGTCTAAAAAACCGAGATTAACGGCCATGGGGATCAACTGCGCTGACCACGTGACATCCTCTAACCACAAATATTAGCACTAACTTCGCCGACAAGCGGCAGTCCCTAGGTATGTACAGTTCGCTTGTTGACTACAGGCCACAGAGTTTTCTTTTATACATCACTCAGGACATGGAAAAAGAAACCATCCCACAGATAGGGTCAGATAAAATGATACCAAGACATGCCTATGATAAACCCTTCACGATCATATCCCTAAGAGAAGCAATTGGAAAAAGGGGTTTCAACCTGACAGAAAGGGAGGGCTAATCTGGTATACAGATGTTTCAGAAAAAAGTCGCTGGACCCAGGCAGTATTGCCATGGATCAAGGTGGAAACTTAGCTTTAGCCTCGAGCAGTACACAACGGTATTCCAAGCAAATGTGTATGCCATTAAGGCATGCACAGTTGAGAATCTAAGTAGAACTGCACACATGCAGACACACATGAACATGCAAACACACATCGAGTATTTTCAAAGAACACAACTTTATGGAAACTGGGTCTGTATCCATTCTCAGGTGAAAGGGTGGGGATGCAACTAATCAGTTGGGTCCAGGGACCAGTGATGAGCACTACCTAATAGGCCCTTATGATTAGGTGCTGCATCACCCTTTCACCTGAGGATGGCAATAATGTGCTCTTTTAAACTCTTAAACCACAGACAAAGTCCAGAAACTCAGTAATCTTCAGTCCAGTAATATAGCTGAAAATCAAATTTTACTTTATAACTTACGGTATGCAATGATGTGACCTTGGGTGTAGTTTACACGGCAAGTATTGTACAGGGGGCATCGATACCAGAAGCAGCAAATGACAATGGTTACCGTGAGCACCAGGCAGGAACAGATGACAGTCAGCCCCACTGCCATTACTTGTCTGCAACATTACACCAACTGCAGGACATGCATAAAATGTTTGCTACACGGTGATCCCATTCTTTGGATCAAGTCCAGTGAAGTATCCGTATTACTGGGTTTGGGAAGTGAAAGATGGCCTCTTCTGCTCATTCACAAGCATAGGTTCCTAAATCCTTGACAAGAAAAACCTGCTGGGCTCTCTACTGGCTATCGTAAATTAGACCTTTCAGTCCTGATTCATCAGCTAATAGCAAGTTTGCCATCCAAAGTTGCTAACCAAACATAGAAAAGGAATTCATAAAACAGGAAACAGGCTACTTATTCACTCATGGAGCTGAGCCATTCTCGAGAAGCCGCCAATTTTGCACCTACTCAAGAATTTCCCAGCATTTTATGGTACCAGAAAGTTCATAACCTGTTGTCACAAGAGCCATCCACTGGTCCTTATCCTGAAACAGATCAATCCAATCCATCCCACCTATCCTGTCTCTCTAAGATCCATTTTAATACTGTCCACCCATCTATGCCTTGGTTTCCCAGTGGTCTCTTTCCATCTGGCTTTCCCACAAACATCCTATATACATTTCTCTTCTTCCCATTCATGCTACATGCCCTGCCCACCTCAACCTCCTTCACTTGAGCATTCTAATTATACTTGGAGAAGAGTACAGGTTATGAAGCTCCTCATTATGCAGTTTTCTCCAACCTCCTGTCACTTCATCTCTCTTCAGTCCAAATATTCTCCTCAACACCCTGTTCTCAAACACCCACAGTTTATGTTCCTCCCTAAATGACAAGAGACCAAGTTTCACACCAATACAGAACCACAGGCAAAATTGTAGTTTTGACTTCTAATTTTTATGTTTTTGGACAGCAAACAAGAAGACCAAATGTTCTGGGCTGAACAGTAGCAAGCATTACCCGAGTTCAATCTCCTATTAATTTCTTCCTGAATCAGGTTTTGATTTGTTATCACTGTTCCCAAATATCTGAACTATGACACATTTTAAAAACATCTGTTACCTATCTTTATGTCATGATTTTGCCCTGCATTTTGGTGATGAGATAGCAACATATACTTAGTTTTCTCTGTTTACTTCTAGAACAACCTCCCTACTGGAAACAAAGTTTGTGTGTTTTTCTTTATGGCATCTATATTATCAACCAGTGGATTCACATCACTGGCATAGACCAACAGCTCATGTGTCTCACTTCATTTCAGTCCCACCTGGTTTTCCTGGGCCTTCCTAATGGCATATTCTAAAGCAAAGTTGAAAAGTAGTGGTGATAAAACATATCCTTCTTTTAGACCATTCTGGATAGGAAAATTATCACTCAAATGTTTACCTATACAGACTTTACATTTTGTTTAAACGCATTTTAAACAGCTTACCTAGTTTCATGGGTACCCCAAACTCTATCAAAATACTGTACAATACTTCCATCCTAAATGAATCATATAGGCTTTCTTACAACTTGGAATCATATTTGTTACTTGGCAATCAGGAAACCAGCAGTAATACAGTATATGGTGTGTGTTGATGTGTTGCTCACCTGTCATCTATTTCATATATGGGCCTGTGTGGATGGCAGCATGACGAAATATTTTCTAAATCCATGCAACACTCTGGAGGGCAAGTCAGTCCATTTTGCAGACATTCTTTACTTTCTGTGTAAAGACAAACATCATCATTACTTCTCTTATTTAACATTGGAATTAATTACAAACCCAGTGTTCACATTCAACTTCTCACATTCTCTGTCAATGATTGTGATGCAAAGTCAGGGTCCACCATAGTTAACCCTTCTGAGTCTACTGGGACATGCACATCATACAGGTATTTCTGCTATGTCTCTCGATGCCCATATATTACAGAGTGCATGCACTCAACCCACTTCTGTCCTTTTTATTTAGTGCCAAAACAAATGTGTTAATACACTTACACAACTTCAGAGATAAATTTCTGGATCATCTTAGGGCACAATAGTCGCACCATTTTTAAAATCATACTTGAAAAGGCTAAAATTCAAGTGGAAGGTCTACCTGGTGGATTTAATTCACAGTGGAAAAGATTTATACTGTTGTCTTCTAGGTCATAACACTATATGTGGGTACACACATTTTAAAGGAACATATTCAAACCATCTTACTGGCAGAACTACCTACGAGATTACCTGAGAGTAATGAACCAGAAGACTGGAGGCAGGATAGCTCAGTCAGTAACAGTGATGGACTACAGGCTGGACAGTCAGGGTTTGATTCAGGCAATTTTTTCCCCTTCTCTACAGCATTCAGACTGGCTCTGGGGCCAAACCAGCCTCCTATCCAATGGGTACCAGGGGCTATTTCCCTGGGGGCAAAGTGGCTGGGGAGTGAAGCTAAGCACTCATGTCTATCCAGTGTGAAGGTCTTCATGGCATAATGCTTAATTGATTAAGCACAGGGACACTTCACCTGCCACATACACATGCAATTTCATAAACATCTTACAAACTTACCCTACTTTACCTTAATATCCCAACTGACAACACTGTTATAAAACCTAAAATTCCAAACAGTTATAATTTCTTTCTGAATTTAAAATTATTTATGTGTTCTGCTTTTTGTGATGATTCCATATAATTATCTCCTCCCGCATCCATTCCAATTTATTATTCACTTGTCATATATCATTTGATGCTCTACTGCTTGAGGTACTGACAGTGTTGTTAAATAAATCATGACACAGTGCAGAGGTTATTGATCTGTCATGTGTTATGAGAAACTTCATAGTTATATCTACCTAGATCCTAAAATGTTTGGCTATGTCCAAAAATACGAAATACTGCTACATTATTGCTGGAATACCAACTGGAACATGGCACAAGGATGGCTTTTGGCTGATGATTAATAAAAACAACCAACAGCAAAGCAAAAAAAATAAAGTCCATATTTCATCATGGTTAGCAATGTGAATGGTTTCCATCTCCAGTTTTTATTTTAGTGATTTTCTTGGCTTCCCAAATGCTTAGTTATTTGCACTTATGGCACCTTAACACAACTACTGGGCTACGCAGAGCACACGTATAAGTACAGGTTGTACGTAAAAAGTTCAGATATATTACACTCTGTGCCTGAAATTTGTTGTCTGAAGTGCAGCAATCATCATAACACTACATGCAACAAACTGCAATGACCCTGTTAACAAGACACAGCTAAACAGAATTCAAAATATATTCTAAAAGGTTCTGCGGTGTATAACACTCAGAATTAGTGTTTTTGGGCTCTGTCCATCGTCTGGCATTCTAAAAACTAGAGAACGCAATGTTTCGGGAAATCGATGTTTCCTCAGGTTAGCTCTTTATAAGGGACCCAATAGAGTAGGTGTCTCCCACTCATCTGCGGGCGAAAGCAGATTCAGTTTCCGAAACATGTTCTCTAGTTTTACGAATACCAGACGTAGGATAAGTCCAAAAATCCAGTAATTCTGAAATTTCCAAATGACTAATTTCACATAGAATTTGATTAGTTCTAGTAATTACACTATAAACCTACCGGACTTCTGTATAAGAACTGCGAAATATAATGTGCACAATATCACATACAGACTTAATTCCATTTCTGTCTACTATATGCCTACATAAACCACCACCACGATTTTCATTCAATCAATGTTGTAGCATGCATGAGACGCATCAGACGGCCACCAGAGCGCGCACATGTCAGGCAGACGTTGTTCATTTTGTGGAATCAACATACCAGGGATGCATTTGATGGTCTGTTAGAAACCAGAAAATGCGTTAATAATAATAACCCAGTCAGGCTAGCGCATATTTGAGTACCGGGCCGCAGCCCCGCCACTGGAAGGTACTGATGTGAAAAGTTCATTAATTTGAATAATTTCTCACTTCTGAGGTAGAAGCGTCAGCTTCGTCAAGTACGTGCTGATCGTAAGTTGTTATTCAATTCTGTATTTAAAAGTGTAAACTTCCTCACACTTTTAAATGGTGGCGAAACTTGCTGAACCTCGAAACCTCGTATGATAATTTTTAGAGGGTTTGGAGCCGCATGCAAGCATAGACTGGGTAATCATATTGTTTCCAGAACATGAAAGGCAATGTTATTTTCACTTTACCTGAGTCAAATCTCTTTATGGACGAGTATTACTCTCAAATTAAAACCAAGCTTCGGATACATTCACATCACAAATTGTCGTTAATGAGAAATTAGTAATGGGAATATAATTTGTATAAAAATAGTAATCATTATCATCACCATCATTGGCGAAACAGCCCATTTTGAGCCATAGCTTTCCTCAGAAGATTTTGCCAGATTTGTCATCCGGTTTTCACTTCTTTGGATTTCGCAACTTCCCCCCCCCCCAAAAAAAAGAAAGANAAAGAGCAAGGACGTCATGCATTTATGTCCCCCCAGTGACAGGGTGGCCCAGTTATACTCCCAGGCACGGAATTCCCTTTTCTTCGCCGTCTAAGTCTCTCATTGCTGCGATGGAGATTTTCTAACCACAGAGACAATTCCGAATTACCCAGACTTCAAATTCACTGACATCACCCGTTTGTCGTTAACCTTTCAGATACTGAATCTCTTTAAATAACGTATCCAAATTCAGTTCATAGCTCACAGGCAGCACGTTATGTCTCTGCTGTAAAGATCAACTGATGTTCGGCGGAACGCAGGGTTCCGTGAAGTGAAAACAAGCGTTCCGCAAGAAAATTCCACTATAATTTAAAAAATAATTAACTGGAAATATGTGGCATAGTAGTTTTTAAGCTTTTTCTGAGATCTCTGCATTGTTCGTAGACCCTTAACGTCCTGAATTTATAATACCGTATTTACGCATGTATAGGCCGCACATTTTTTGCCAAAAATTCAAGAGGAAAACTGGGGTGCGGCTTATATTCGAAATATTCGAAATCACACTTCATTTAAAAAAAATATATTCATAATTAGTAATACAGGGTGTAATACTCCTGAAATAATATTCCAAGAAAATTATTTTTTCTATAATTTCTGTCTGAAAATTGTGCTGCGGCCTATACACGCACGCGGCCTATACATGCGTAAATACGGCAGTTCCATTTCTGCAGCACGGCATAAGCTTTGGGAATCTTAAAACCGTCAATGATCACATCAGTCTTGAATGGCTTTACCAGAATGGCGAAGCAGAGTTTCAACTTATACAGATCATCAACAGTGATTTCAAGTTCAAACCTTCATAACTTATATCTATAATCTCCAAATTTTCGAAATTGCAATTCAATTTTAAGGAATGAGCTTGGTCTACTCATGAGATGAAAATGACTGAAGTTTCTTTTCATTACGTCATTTTGCAGAGGGTTTTATTTTTTAAAACTGAACGTCCTCTGAGGAAGGTCAGAAATAATTTCATTCTATCCATGAAGATCCTAGTTCAGAGTTTGTACATACATGTACCATGTATGCAGTTACTACAATAGTGTTTATAATATTGTGACGTATTGCGCTATGCAGGACACCCCCTCCCCCGCCAGCGGTGACGTAACATCTCCGGAACGTTGCCGCTACTACGGTAACGGGCCAATCAACACCCCGCCCCCTACCGCGGTGACGTTACCAAGGGATGCCACGGTTGCTACAGAGCAGTAAACAACTCTCGACAGTGTTGCTAGGCAACCTGTAAACACGGCGTCAGGCAACAGCGGTACCTATCACGTAATGCTTTAAATATGTGGCTGCTAGGCATTTGTGGGGAATGGCTGAATGAATATGAAGTTCTGCAACACCTATATTTCTGCCTAACACTGCAGGTGCTCCACCTGCTAGCCAACTTATAAGTTTATTTAGCGGTACACAGGCATTTGTCAATGCCGTGTCATCAGCATCCCTGGTTATTTCTTTCAATTCCTCTAAGCCCCGCCTTTCTTATTTCACAATGACACGTGTTGAAAGATGAGGTTCAAACATGTTATTTTTCTATTAACTTTAGCATCTGTGGAGTCATCAAGTATCGCATTAAATGTTACACACTTTCTGAAATCTCTCTGTAATTTTCTCAAAAAATCATCACTGACTTGAAACATTCACACCCCCTGTAGTGTGATACTGGAATCTGTGTTATTAGTCTGCAAAGTTTTGTTATTCAGATATAAAGCTGAAATTGCTTCATAAGAATATTTCGTAACAAACTCTCCGTCAGTTATGTGGATATGTAGCATCAGCAATGTCCTCTAAAATAGAAAGAAGTTCCTAGAAAAAGCAAACGCCTACTTTCCTCTCACTACGTATACGTATTAAATATTCCTTACGACACGGACTGCATACAAATCACGGCGTGTATTCATTGTCACTAGAAAATATTTACTTAGCCGTTGCCTAACAACAGCTATCTTATGGCTCCACTAATCCGGTTTTCAGGCGTTAGAGGGAACATACAGAGACACAGGCAGCAAGATGATCTCATAAGCCCTTTTTTTATTTTTAGCCTACTTTCCTTAGTTTGAAGAAAAATAGGAGGATTATGAGACAACATTTCTGTTTGTGTGCCTGTGTCCAGCGGCCCTATGCGCTTGTAACTGTTGTTCAATTGAGATATGACACTATGAAGGGGACGCTCATCGTTTGTTGCTGTTCAAAGGAAATACCTGAGCAAATGCATGGGCAAATTTTAAAGAGTGAAGCAAGAATGTCTGCCTGAAACTTATTTTTAGTAACTTTTACAATTACATGCATTTAGAAGGCAAAAATAAATTACTGGTTTAGGCAATTTAGCATGTATTGCAAAGCGTATAATATCTGTCAAGTATTTGAAATCAAAAAGCAACATTATTTGAAATAATGGAGACATAAATTATTTCACAGGTATTAAAATACAACACCCGCAACTTTTAAATATTTGTAGGATTTTCAGCTCTCATAGCGGCGGTTATGAAGAGTCCTGTCTTCTGGAATATAACGCCGCGTAGTCCTTTGAAAGTCATCAGACGTTTCGGAGGAACATATCTCCATCTTCGAAGGCAAGCAAGAAACCAGCGTGAAGGAGGCGACATTTTCCTCTGAAACGTCGGTTGACATTCAACGGAATACATGGCGTTATACCCCAGAAGATGGAACTCTTTTTAAATACTTGTAGTTAGAAATGGCCAGAATCCACGTAGATATAAATTTCAGCACTGGCACTGAGATACAATTATTTCATCTTCCACCATGTCAAATTTACTAAGGGAGCAAGGATGACACCTGGAGTCTGCTCCTAAAAGTTCCTTTACCTTCCTTGAACAGTTCTAACAGTGTAAGATTTGAGGCTTTCACAGCGGTGACTATGAAGAAAGCAGTCTTCTGGGATTTGGCACCGTGTATATGTGGTGTTAACCGACGTTTCGGAGGAACGTATCGCCTTCATCTTCAGGGTAGAAGAAAAACTATAAGAAATCTGCAAGCGAAGGGACCGTGAGAACCGGTAAAAGCAGACTGATACGTTCCTCCGAAACGTCGGTTAACAACACGTATACACGATGACAAATCCCAGAAGACTGCTTTCTTCAGTTCTATCAGTCTTTATACTGTGGCATATAGATCTGTTGCTGGGCAGAGACTGAAAAACAAACAACGAGACAACGGCTGTTGCTAGGCAGTGGCCCGCGCGCAACAATTGAACTACTGTAGGAAGCTGTGTTTTCTGAGTGGCCCGATCCGAGGCTATATAACACAACCGAGTTAGTTAACTTCAGTTACTGCAGGATTACCCTGTGTGGAGGCGGGGTCGAATACCTCCACCGTGACCCTGCGAGTCGTATGAGGCGACGAAAAGGGAAGTCTCAATTCTGAGACAGTAAAATATTGTCGCGAGTCCCAAGGGACTCGGAACCGAGTAAGACTGCGCTGGCAAGGACCAGCAGCATGTACAAAAGATAGACCCGTCCTCTCGTCAGAGAAGGCGCCCCACAGAAACAAGACCGTAACTGTCAAACGGTAATAATTAATATCTGGTCATGAGCCCCAAATGGGGCTCGACACCAAGGCTTACTGACTGACTGACCGTCAGTCGCAATGTGACTTTGACTTTGACTTTGACTTCAGTTACTGCGAGTCGTAGGAGGCGTCGAAAAGGGAAGTCTCAAATCTGAGACAGTAAAATATGGTCGCGAGTCCCAAGGGACTCGAACCCGAGAACGACTGCTCTGGCAAGGGCCAGCAGCATATACAAAAGACAAATCCGATCTCTCGTTAGGGAGGGCGCCCCACAGATACAAGGCCGTAACTGTCAAACGGTAATAATTAGTATCTGGTCATGAGCCCCAGATGGGGCTCGACACCAAGACTTACTGACTGACTGACCGTCAGTCGCAATGTGACTTTGACTTTGACTTCAGTTACTGCAGACAATGACCCTGACAAAAGACAGACACGTCCTCTCGTTAAAGAGGGCGCCCTACAAAAACAAGCCCGAAACTGTCAATCAGTAATAAATATCTGGTCATAACCCTTAGATTTGGCTCGACTCCAAGACTGAGCTACTGACTGACTGACTGACCGTCAGTTTCAATATGACTTTGACTTCATTTAGTGCACGGCCTGCAGTGGAGTGGAGCGTATTTTGTGGTGAGTTTGTTAGTTGTATGACTGCTGCAGTTCAGTCCTTGTGAGCTGTTGATGTTAGAAGATGGTAGCAGAGGCACGAGGATAGTTC